AAAAACTTGTATTTCTTTCTGTGTGAGAAACCTTACAAAATAGCACTTGTGGTCCTCGTCTATTATTCTGGACCAGGGAGATGAATCTCCCATGGAAAACAAGATCCTGGGGAACCACACAGAGTATCCTACAACTCTTTCTACTATCCCTGTGCTCTTTGATTCTAAGTTATCAGTAAAGCTGATCATGAATAAGATCTTTCTGATTCATGGAATTCCATTTGACAATCCAACCGTGGGGGTTTGTTCACAAGTGTTGGCAGTTTTTTTGTCAGGGATAAGCTGAATCTCTGTACTGTCTAGGGTCTACCTAGCTTCTAGATTCTCTCTCTCTCTCCACCTATCTGATTTTACTTGACATATCATGGAAACCATCTTTCTACTGATTTCAGTTTCTTCACAAAATGCTCTCTCTGCCATCTTCCTGTGTACTCTTGTCTCAAGACAACAGTTAAATTCTTCTTTTTCTTCCTAGCAAAGAATTCAGGGATGCTCTGTTTCAGTCAGGGCCTTGAAGAAAAATTAGATTTTACCTAGAAAAACAGCACGTAGCTTATGAACATGGTAGAGTTATGTTACACTTTGTTTTAATGGGGCCAAGACTTGAGTTGAGTTAGTATTCTTTAACATTCACTTAAAATGTAAACTGAACACACATCTCCTTTTGCCACATTACCTTTCTATAAATAAAATGTGTTACTTTGTTAAAATTTTAAAATATTGATAAACCAGCTTTCAGAGTAAAAACTTTTGGTACTGGTTGATCGGAAGGCTGATTCTGTGAAAATCACATACCATCTCAATAGATAGAAACATACAAACTCTTAATAAAATTCATATAAAAATAAAAAACTTACTAAATGCCTATGGCTAAGGCATTTTACAATGGTATTTACTCCTTGGATGCTCTGTAACTATTTGTTTATTAACTGACTATTCCTGGGGATAAGCTACTTGGATTCTATCTGAAAATGGGGAAAAGGTCATTAAACTAACTTGCTCACAAAATTTTCAACACAGAGTCTCAGTGGCATAAAGATTGAGAAATTATAGTCAATATCCTGATTTTGTTCTCAGTGTTGAATAGTCAATAAATGCGGACCCTTAGAAAATCAATGTCAGCAGGTTACTGGATCCTACAAGAGCTACTTTTCAAAATCATTATTAAAATAAATAGAAAACCAATGTGATTACATCATAAGACAGTATATATACAATAATCATGATGAGAAAATTCTGTCATTCCAAAAAATGACATAAATGGACTCTTTTTTTATTTTTGGAGTTGGAGTTCACTCTTTCGCCCAGGCTGGAAGGCAGTGGAACGCTCATGGCCACTGTAGCCTTGACCTGCCGGGCTGAGGCGATCCTTCCACCTCAGCCTTCCAAGTAGCTGGAACTACAGATGCACGCCACCATGCCTGGCTAATTTTTTTTTAATTTATTGTAGAGACGAGGTTTCATCAAGTTGCCCAGTCTCGAACCCCCAAACTCAGGCAATCCTCTCGCCTGGGCCTCCCAAAGTGCTGGGATTACAGGCTAAGCCACGGCACCCAGCCCAGATACAGACTCTTAATTTTAACCAGTTGATAAATAAAATACCTCAAACAGAGGAATACAAAAATATATGAATAATATTAGGAGACATTCTTCCTCAGCACAGTATAAGCAATTTCTTCAAGACCCAAGAAAACTGCCTTTAAATGAACACAGGTAGAGAAAGGATGCCAGGATAAGAGGTGACTCACCAACTGCCCTTTCAAAAATCTGGTTGATGGTCACTATCGAGGATGAAGAATATAGTAAACTCAACACAAATATATTATCTAATTTCACTGCTATAAAGTAAGTGGGAAATACACATACCAGTTGCAGAAGACAAATTAATATAATTATAATATGGTGTTAGGGAGAGACAAAGAACTGAGATAACTGGTCAGTAATAGAAACTGTTGCACAGCTTATCTTCCAGATTCAGGAGTCAGACTTCCTGAGCTCAGTAAATTGATGCTGTGCTTACTGTGACCATGGGCAAGCGACTTAAACTCTCTGACCCTCCTTTGTAAAATGGGAAAAAAACCTAATTAATAGTGTATTTAAGGATAACCCCCTTGGGTCCCCTCCCACTGTGGGAGCTTTCTTGTCCTCTCAATAAATACTGCTTTCTTTAAAAAAGAAAAAAAAGTGTATTTAAAAGATTAAAATATACAATTAAAATTAATAGCTATTTCTATTAAACAAAAAATATGTTAAAGGGTTGGAGGATTATGAACTGTCTGAAATCGTGTTTGACATATAATGAAATGTCTATTCAGGTCTTTTGACCATTTTCTAATCAGATTATTTGTTTCACTGCTACTGAGTTGCCGGAGTTTCACATCTACTCTGGTTGCAAATCCCTTGTCAAATGAATTGTTTGCATTTTTTCCTCCCATTCTGCAGGTTGCTTCTTCACCCCCTTTGCTTTGTTTCCTTTGTTGTGCAGAAGCTTTTTGCTTGATGTAATATCATTTGTCTGTTTTCGCTTTGTCTATTTTGCCTGTGCTTTTGAAGTATCACCCAGAAAAAAATCTTTGCCCACATCAATGTCCTATAACATTTTCCCAGTGTTTTCTTCTAGTAGTTTAATGGTTTCCGGTCTTACAGTTAAGTTTTTAATCCGTTTTGAGTTTATTTCTGTGTACGGTAAATGTTGGGGATCTGGGTTCATTCTTTTGTATGCAGATATCCAGTTTCCCCAGCATCATTTTTTAGAGACCCTCTCCTCAGTGCAAAAATCCTTAACAAAATACCAGCAAACAGAATTCAACAACACATTAAAAATACAATTCACAGCCGGGCTCGGTGGCTCAGCCTGTAATCCCGTGCTTTGGGAGGCTGAGGTGAGTGGACTGCCTGAGCCCGTAGGTTCGAGACCCACCTGGGCAACTTGGTGAGACCTCATCTCTACAA